GAGAAAATAAAAGTCTATCACGACCACTGCTAGGTATAACGTTTGTTAAAATTAAGTCACATGAACTAACTACTATGCCACCTTAATTAATGTTAAAAAATCTTTAGTGATTTAGGAAATTGAGACATCATGTTAAGATATTAATATCGTAGGTATTTCAATTTGTCCATATGAATTACTTTCAAGGAAAACTGTGTACTGATCCTAGAGTACAATTGAAGTTTGATTTGCTAAAATTAACTCTGTATAAAGGAATTTTGTTAAGAATAGATTAACTCATCCTTTTTAACATGTCAACAGCACAACAAAAGGCATAAAGATCAGGCCGTTTGATAACTTTTTGATTTTTAGAAAACTAAAAATTGTTCTATGTTTGTTGTTTTCTAAAAAATATTTATGTTTTTTTAACAAAAATGTATGCAAAATACTCTTATACAAATTTAATTAAAAAATATAAAAATATTATATTAAATATTTTAGTCATGATGATTAAATTGTGGCATCATGCATATTAGTGGTGGTGCTGAGAACTACATGGTAACGATAATGATAATGATCGACATGATAAAAGTGAGAATTAGTAAGGTTCATAGTAATTCTAAATTTATAATGATTATTATTTTATTGATAAATAATAATGGTTGTAGTAATTGTTAATGATATAATAGTTATAATATGTTTGTGAATGTTGTAGAGATAATGGTGATAGTATTGTTGGAGTTAATGATAATGTTAGCAATCTTAGAAGAGATGGTGGAGGTGAAGAAGTAAAACAAAAATAATGGTTGTAGTAACCATGGTGATAGAGTTGCCAATGGTATTATAAAGATGATGATGGTGATAATAATAATAATAATAATAAGAGGTGATGATGGTTGTGATAAATATACAGTGGTAATGTATTTATAATTTTTGTCATAATTCGTTAACTCTTTATTTTATAATTTTTTTAAAAAAGTCTAAAAAATCCAAAAACATCCATGGTTTTCCATTTTTTGATTATTTTATAAATTTACATAATTTTTTTAAGCATGTTAGTATTTTTCTTTTATTTTCGTCAAAAAATTGAACAAGAAAAAGAAAAAATCAAAAGACGAAAAAACAACAGTTGGATAAGCCAAAGCAAAAAGAGTCAGAAAAAAAAAAAAGAGACCAAAAGAAAATTGGAAAAAAAAAGCTATAAGAAAAACAATAGAAAAAGCTAGAAGAAAAAACAACGGAAAGAAATCGGGGTGAAAAATAAAAAGATTAAAAAAGAATGAGGACAGAAAAAAACAAAATAAAAAGGAAATTAAAAACGGAAGGGTTAAATTGGAAGAAATAGAAAGGAAAGATGACCAAAATAAAAAAAATAATTAAATAAATAAAAACGTTAGTGAGACGGTGCTTTTCACTCGTGCAAAGGAAAAAAGAAAATTTAGAATCCCTAGGGAAACGGCACCATTTCCCTAGGTTAAATGCCCCTTTTTTCTTTCTTTCTTTCTTTCTTTTTCCAGTCGACCAGTCCTCTTCAGCTGTTGTCTTCTCCCATTTAAGCGGAGAACTGATACCTTTTTCTCTCCCACACGCTTCTTTTTAAAGAAGAAGTGCAGATTTCTAGTCTCCTTTCCTTGCGTAAAAAACAAGAGAAAAACGACCATGCAATAAGCTAAAAAGCCAGAGAAGTGACAAGAGAGGATGACGAAAATGCAGCCCCTTTTCCTCTCTCTCACCCCTACACTTACGGCAAGTTAATTTCTGACTTAGTTTTTTTTTTCTTTTTTTAAATTTAGTGGATTTGGCCATCATTTGGCCAGTTTTTAAACCCAAAATTTGGCCATTTCTCCCCCTCTCCTTGCCCACCGTTGGCAAGGGTTGAAAGGGATGTGTTTCTGAATAAAAAATGTGAATTGATAGAGTCTAAAATTTTTTTTAGTTTGCCATTTTTAAGTGAGTTTAGTCTCTGATGTTATAGACTTTTGTATATTTATTTTAGAAGTCTAATTTAGAAGCCAATCAATTACCCCCTCATTTTAGTACAATAAGGGTAATATATATATATATTTCATGATTGATTGGTTAAGTTTCTTTTAATGACTTTATTTTTGTGATTTTATTAGACATGTATTTTTTATATTTGTGATAAATATATATTTTGTCATTTACCATGAATAAAATTTACCATTTCTTTATTTTTGCGTGCAATGCTTTGTATATAATTTGTTCGTACCAAATGTTGCATATCTAAATTCCTCTTTGTATAATTTTTATTTTTATCCTTGAGTTATAATTGCTTGCACACCATATCCTTGTATTATTTATGTTTTTGACATATTTTGCACATATATCTTTGTCATCACCCGATTTTGAACCCTGCAATTTTTTTAATTATTTATTTAAAAAATTAAAAAAACCAAAAATAGCATGTGTGCACTTTTTCTTGATTTTTGCCTAATTTCTGGTAATTTGACAATTTCCAAATTTAGATCATATTGGTATTTTTTTTGAATTTTTGACTGAAAAATAAAGAAGAAAGAAAAGGAGAAAGAGGGAGAGTGAAAAAAGAGAGAGAAAGAGAGAGAGAGAAAAGAAAAGAGAGAGTTAGAAAAAATCACGAGAAAATCATTAGAGAAGAAAGTAAAATATATATATATATATATATATATAGAAGAAAAAAAAACAAAAACTAAAAGGAGATAAGGATAATTGAAAATAAGGATGCAATCGAAAAGAATATAAAAAAGACGACTGAAAAAACAAAAACAAAAGAAATAAATAGATAGCGGAGGGGTGTAATTGAATAAAAAATAAAAGGGTAAGAATGGAATCTGAAAAAGCACCAAAATCGAAGGACCAGGCATGAACAACTCCGTGATTTTTTTCCTCTCTTTTTTCTCCTTGTTTTGTCCCTCCTTTCCCTTTTATTTATTTTTGGTCTAGTTTTCACCTTCTCATGATAGATCAAATAATTAATGATACCAGATCAACCTCTCCCAGTTTTGTTGGAAAAATCTATTATATTCATCTTAATGCAGGAGATTGATGCGAGAGTTTGTCTTTAAAATTGTTCAAGAAAAAACTAAGTCTTAATTAGTGAACAAATTTATTTACAAATATTCATATTGTCCAATAAATAAAAAAAATCAAATGATTAGATTATCGTCCAACTGCAGGACATGTGACGGATAAACTTTTAAATCTTATTACTCAACGAAATAAGCAGCGGCGGAGCTATCCCAGGGCCAGAGTAGCCTTGTCCCCACAAAGTTTAATTTAGTCCTTATAGTTTTATGAGTTATTTATATATAACCTTACAAAATATCATCCCCCAATAATTATATTTAAATGGTTAAAAAAGTTAGTGAGAGGTATTTAACACTAATAAATAACTGCTTATGACTTATGGGATCTAACAATTGGATTGAATTTATTTTCTTATCGACTTATAATGAAATCATTTATACGAAAAAATATAATAAACCCATTTATTTTCTTATTTATGGAATGATATATACTAATTTTTTTTTTTATAAAAAAGATACCAGACATTGATATATAGTAAATCTAAATCATTTTATAAAAGTTTTACTTATGATTTTAACTCGAATAAAATTCTTTTTAGTTGCTTGAAAGTTAACATAAAAAAATAATAATAAATGTACTAATTTTCTTGTAAGTTTTTAATTTTTGTAAGTTTAAACATACTAGAACTGACACACACACGGTCAATTTAATTTAGCCTCTTCAAACTCTATATCCGGACTCCATCATTGGAAATAAGAATTAATTTGCATTGTGGTTAGTTCACACCAATCAAAAACGCCCCCCAAAGGAATTCCAGCTAGCAATTGTATTTATATAATCGTTCCAACTCTCTAATTTCTAGATTTATTGATATTGAATCAACTTAACACACTTCTAACACTTGTTCTATTTTTGATTTTTTCATTAACAATTTGAATATACTAAATGAAAGGTCAACATCAAAAATATACGTGCATCTTCGTATGATATAAATTTACTTTAATAACCAAATATCTCTCTCTCTCTCGGCTTTTAGTTTCTTAGCTGAGTACTTCGTAAAAAACTTGGAACTTGAAACCTCTAGATGAAAGGAGGGATACTAATGCTAATTGAACTACATTTCATTGGCAAGATTTTACTCTTTAGTTCATTGGATGTGACAGATTTATTGCCAACTTGTGATTAAACCTTGTTTCACAAAACTTCCAAAAAAACATTCGTGGCAAGTAACTTAAAAAACATTTTCTCTGATTGTCACACCATGTTCGCCAACCTCAATTCAGATTGCATAATTATAATTCTCTTGCACAAATAACTCATCTTGGATGTTCTTATAATCTAACAGATGCCCATAACTCAACGAGACAGCCCAACAACTAATAAACGTAGGCATGGAAGTTCATAACACGTTCCGAGTTCAGAGTCAAAAGGCAGCAGTCGTGGAAATGGAATTTAGGGAATGCCTGCATTACTTCCTGCCATTTGGTTGCAACCTGTAATTATTTTGAACTATAAGGATTAGAGAATTCAACTGTATGAAAATATACTAACACTTGCTATCGTAGTATGAAGAGAAATTCTGTAACATCTAAGACCGAGGAGGATTTAAAAACCCCAGATAAAAACAATGTCAAATCCCACGGTTATAACAATACAAGGGAAAGAAAAGTGAAAAAAGAAAATGAAAAAAAAAACACCAGTTCAGGGCGTCTGGCATAAGCTACAAAGTAACATCACAATAAACTTCCAAGATATCTTCTGGCACGCAAAGCAACTATAGATAAATTAATCTATATAATGTTTCAACAATCAGAACTTTATTCCTGTTATTGTGACGAATACTGTCTTGGAAGCATATCCTCTACCCAAATCAAACAGCATATAAATTGCATGTACCAATTATCATCAAATTGAAGTTCCAGTACCTTCACTGCAAACTAGGAGCTAGTTTCTCCTCTACTGTGGAATTTTCCCATGATGCAAAAACCCAGCAGAGGTCAAGACCATGCTTCAACATGGTATCTACCATCCTTTTCCAATCTCCTAAGCTGCGAGACAGCAGTTTCCCTTGGAACTCCAGCCTCTTTGGATATAATTTCCTCCAAGGCTGACATTACATCCGAAGGCATTTTGGTTGAAGAACCTGCAACATAAATGGAAGCCCCCTCCAATAGCAAATCCCAAACCGTCTGGCTCTGTTCCCGCATCTTATGCTGCACATAAACTTTTTGTGGTTGATCTCTTGAGAAGGCTACATAAAACCCTCCACCCCTTGCTATGGAAAGTAGTCCACCATTTTGAGCATGAGACAACCAAAAATCTCTGTACAGAAAGTCATTCGCCTCATTTCGACAACCAAAGAACATCATAATAGGAGCAGCTGAGCAAGACACATCTTGCATGGCTCTTTCCTCAACAAATCCACGAAAAGGGGCACAGCCTGTCCCAGGCCCAACAAGTACAAGTGGAACTGATGGTGGTGGTGGAGGAAGGGAACCTTTGTGAAACCATGCAGGAATATATACACCTGCTCATGCAAATATACTTTATTGTATAACAGATGACATAGAGTTTGCACAATAGAATTAGAAACAGGAAGTTTCAGTTGCACTAGTGTATACCCACCTTCTTGCCGCTCAAGTCCAGCCAGCCACTTTGAGCAGAGACCAGTTCGTTTCCTCTTAAAAGGAGTTGTCCACAAAACTACATTCACAGTCAAGTGCACTTCATTGGGGTGAGCAGAAGGGGAAGAAGAAATGGAGAAAGCCCTTGTTTTCAATGGAGGAACTAACTGCACCAGCCACTCAAATGGCATTTGCACAGAAGGGAAATCCTCTAATACCTAAATTGAAAAGACATAATCAATTCCTTGCAAAGAGGATAGAGTGGATTAACATTTTAAGATTCACAAAATCAAGCAGCTCAACTATGATAAACTATTTAAAATCCTAGAGTTTCTCCTACATCCTTTCCAAGTGGGCAAATCTAGCATATTGTAAAAAGTCAAATTTCATTTTAATGTTAACATTGTAATTGGTCAATTAAGAGAAGGCAGCATGTCCTATTTACATAGGTTTGTTAGCATACTACACTGGTTACCTTTTCACAAAAGCCCACGCATAGGGCATAGAGAATTATTCAGTTAGTGTTGAATTCAAGTACATATCTAGAGCAGTATTGCATTTTATAGAAGTAGTTCACAGCAGGATCTAAAAGAGAAACTTAATCTCAGTATCTCTGGATATATCTTGAAATGATCTTATGTGAACATTAGAGGTTTTATTTCAGAAAAATAAACAGAAAACACATTCCAACATTCTAAAGAATAGAACCTAAAGGAAAGAAGCTCATCAAATGATGTACACTGCATAAACTTCAATTATGTGCAATAATTCACCTCCATAACAGTTCTTCGTTCCTTCTGGTTGTATTCATATAGATCATCTCTTCCTTCAGGTGAGGCAAAATATTGAAGCCTCTCCTTTTCATGTTCAGCTGTTGCAAAAAAGCTCATAACCTGAAAGAGAGAGGATTATCAGTATAAGACAACAGAATAGCACAGGCATGTGGCAACCCCAAAACCCACAACAATCAGAACTGAGCTAGCAAGGAATATCAATATAAGATATGATTAGGAAGAAATACATGAATTTCTTAATTTCTTTCCTACAATTGGAAGGAAGAAATTCCAATTACAAAGCTTCAACCTTAATTTTCATTAGAACCAGTACTTAGAGAAAATCGACGTTGCTAGTTGGAAAATCACATCATCAACCTCTATCATATATAAAACCTTTGTCAAAATCGGAAATAGTAAATAGCCTCATTGGATGACAAAAGTTGACAAAGACATAACATCGTCAAACTGAGCGACTAAAACTCCCAATCTAATCAAATCATCAACCTCTATCATATATAAACCTTCGTCGGAAATGATTTACCAGATTCAGTGTGAGTAATAAAAAATAATGCCTTTTCCTTTATGATAAGACAGTACTTAAGATATTTATCATCAGGAGGAGGGAAAAACTGCTTCTAATTCAACAGAATGGGATATTAAAGGAAAAAAAAAAAAAAACCCTATTTTAATAGATCAATTTAATTCTATGCCACTGCTAGATCTAGTTATTCCATAAGAGAAAGTTTTGAATTTAAATGTGCATAATGTGGATATTATTTTTAGAAAGAGAATAATGCAGCTATTGAATGGGAATTAACTGATGTGTGGTCAACCATATGAAAATGGTTTGCAGCCACCTTTGAATCTATTTCTCCTCATCATTACCATTGTACAAAGTGTTAATTAACGATAAACTTTATTTCTTTATGTAAGAAAACTAGGGTGATTCAAAATTACATATGCAAGAAAAGTGCAATTAAAAGTTAGGCACCAATAACGAATTCACAAGGCCATTTTCCAAATTAAATCCTTTATCTTATTTTCTAATAAACAACCAAAAGCACAATCCTAAATATTCTTTCTCCTGTTTAATTCATTTTCCAAGATAATTTCTGCTCTGGTGCATCTCAAACTCAAAATGATGAGCAGAAAAAAAAAGGGAATGAAATGGGATAAAAAGCAAGATTGAAGGAGCAAGAAAAAAGAGCATGTTACATAAGGTAGCATCTTTTGTCTGCTTGCAGAACTTCAATTGAAGAACAAAAAACATACAGGATTCTTGCCTCAAAGAAATAGCGTCTAGGAGAAGCTGATGCAACATCCATTGTCAATTCCACAAAAGTTTTCAATTTTAGAGGGACCCTTGAGTCATTGCTTTCAGCATCAAAATGGTGACTCTCCATCCCTCTAGGATGCACCTGAAATGAGACACATTGCTCATTATCGGACAAAAAGTAAAAAGACAGAATGTGACAGCAATATCTAATGTGCAAAATATAAGTTGTGGCTTCCCATAAACAAGTCGGGGAAATTATGATAAGTCATGAAGTACTCAATAATAAACAGAAAAAGAATTCAGCAAGCAAGCTGCATGTTCAGCTCCAATGTGTGGTAAAGGTCAAGGGTTATTCTATTTTGAACTGCAGAGTTATCGATCTACAGGTGCACCAAAAATAAATATTAAAAAAAATCAACAATAGGCTGGAAAATAAAAATGTAATGAACAATAAATGAAAGGGAGGTTTTATGGTGTTACAACAGATGACAATTATTTCTCACATAGTCGCACACATGAAAAACACCTAGCAGATTACCAGTTGAATATGTGGCTGTGAGAGCTAAGATTTTGTCTACATTGCAGGATGAAGCAAGGTGCCAAAGGTAAGCCATTGGTGTAGTACCTCTAAAATCCAGTGAATCAGGGAATGAATTACTTGAGTTCAAACTGTTCCCCAGCAGCTTAGTAACTCTAAAATCCAGTGAATCAGGGATTGAATTACTTGAGTTCAAACTGTTCCCCAGCAGCTTACTTCCTGTTATATAATATTTCTAATACTAGGATGCATTAAGAATGCAACCTACTATGCCTACAAGCCACAAATGTTTTATGTTCACTAAGCAAACATAATATGATTACGACCACTTTCACAAGGATAGCAAGTATCTACTCCAACAAGGTGCAAAGATACTCAGCGAAGTCCTTGATACACAAGCACAGAAAGGAAGTCTCTGCTGACAAGGGAATGACTTACAATGATGAAAGATTCAGGGTCCAAATTACAACGCTGTATGAAAGCATCCACAGCAGCAGAATCTTGACCCGGAAGAACTTCAAGGACATCACCAACTCCATATTCAATTTTCTGCACAGAAAGTAGGACACACAAAGAAGACACAAATTTAATTCATCTGATATAAAATTATAATTGAGGTGCTTTCACATAAAAAATCATGCGCACTCTATGAGGGGGCCAAAAAAAAAAAAAAAACAGAGAGAGAGAGAGGGAGAGAGAGAACTTACAGATGAAACAAACTCAAATTCAAAATGGCGCACATCTTTTCCACAGCCTGCTCTACTCAATGGCTGATTCTTGATCTACACAAGCAAAGATAAATGAACCGAGATATACAGAAGATGCAAAGATGGCGCAAAGATTGACCATGCAATTGCTTAAGAGAAAGTGATGAGATCAGTTCTTCTTTATAGTCTTTTTTTATTATGATAACCTTCTCACTAGGATGAGAATGTAACAAGTCAATTTTTCATCTAGCTAGTTAAATCAATGAGAGAAAGAATATAATAGATAGAAGATTCAGAAATAAGTGAGATAGAGAGGATGAGAATATTAAAGCCTTCATTTCTTTAACCTAGAAATGTACACGGATTCAGCAATCAACAGGGGCTAAATAAAATGTTGACCAGCAGCCCTAGTAAGTAGCAGGCAGCTCCTAATAGTTACACAAGTTCCCATGCAGGATAACTACATGACTTCCCTTATATAAGTACGGAACTTCAAGTATTTTACAGGAGAAGTATCACAAAGAATTTTATCACATATTGCCTTGTGTGAAAAGCTGGAAGATTTGGTGTTTCAGGTTATGGCAACAAGCATTAAAACTCACCATTTTAAGAAAGCAGTCAGGAATATTCTTGTCATGAGAAAATTTTCCAGGCGACATTGAGCGAGCTCTACCAATTTGCATCTGCACACATGCAAGACCTGACATGACCATAAAGGTATAACAGTGTAAGTGAAAAAACCTATTTCTGCAAATTGATCTAATGAAATGAGATTTTAAAAAACAAAAATTGTAAGCAATAATGCCACATATTCCAATTTCCATGTGAAATTGGGTAGGCAGAACAAAGTGTAAAACTGCACAAATTTAATTAGCAAATACAATTGTTTCATTTCCTATTGATAAACAGAATAAAATGCATGTTTAGCAACATTTCTCTTTGATATTTGTATTGGCAGAACATTGGCTGTCTGGTGTCAGGTATATTACATCAGTCATCTCATGCCAAAGTTTCTAACATGTGCAAACTCAATTTTCAACTGCTACATTACATAAATTAGATTGGTCAACTACTATAAATACACAAATGCTATGGTAGTAATGCCAAAAGCCACAAAAGCAAGGAGATAGACACCCATCGCACAAAAGAAGCATCGCAACCTAAAACCAAGCGACAGCCAAATTTCTTGACAAAAGAAAATGGTCGTATTCTTGAATAAAAATGGTTGTACCTAGCAATCAGTAGGCTGAAAAGGTACCAGTGACAGTGCAATAATTTCTTTTCCTTGCTAGTCTGAGCCAACAAACTTACCTACATATTTTAACCAAAACAATTTTTGTTTTTTCTTTCCACATTTACAGAATCTCCACCAGATATATGCCAATTCATCACACAGAAATGTGCATAAACCCCATTCTAAACAGAACCAAGCATTCAGAGCACACCCTGCTATGGAATGGAATTCAACCTCAAGAATAATATAACAAGAAAGCATATCCAAAAAATCAAAGCACTAGACAAAATTGTAAAAGCTGAAAAGAAAATGCATATTCAAACAACTGAGTTACCTGAAGCAGTAGATGATTGTGAGTCTTCCTTACAGGCTTCATGATATGTTATTTGAAATTTAGGTTGATCAATGAATGTTGTATCTGGAATCACAAAATCTGGACCATTTGGGAAGAATTTAGGATTAATCTGATACAACATGTTCCACAAGGATGACATCCAAGGATCCAAAGCACCTTCATATCTAAAAATGAAACCCAGCGTATTAGATAATTTAATTTCATCTCAATTCAACATCATTCTTTACTTAAGAAAACAGCTAATGCTTTATTCACAACAAAGCATGAAAAGAGGAGAAATTGAAGTTGCAGCAGATGCTAGTTTCTATCTATTAATCCTGTAACTTCTGAACAATCAGGAAGGATAAGCAGTTCATTGTGCTAGCAAAGCTGTAAATCCTTTTCTATTCTTTTTGCTAGAATCAATTATCCACTCATTTACATAATTGTAAAGTAATCATACCCTGAAGGATGCTGATCGTCCCCTAAACCTCTTTCAACAACAGCTGCTGCCCCAAGATCTGAAAGTCTCCTATCAAGCTTCTTTGCCACAAACTGCAGCCATAGCATGCATAGCAAATCTGTTATAAAAAAATTAGAGGAAAAAAGAACTTATTTCCTCATCAGTTATTGAATTGAGGATTATAAAAATGATCCTTCCATATGATTCTATATAATACAATCCTAGTATTTCAACAAACAATAGGCTATCTGATTTGAGACCCCTCACAACTATAACGAGTGCTCGATGCTATAAGAACATAGGAACCTCAAAGTAAGCCATTCATTAGAAATAAAAGTTCTTATCTTTGACAATGTAAGTCACAATGGAATACACGCAAACAGACATGGAGACATATTTCTTAGCAATTGGCCCTTGAGAGTTGAAAAGATAAATCATTACTGCGTGAACTGAGTCCTAATAGCCTTTAACATATATCAAAAAGTCCACAAATAGTGAAAAGATTTAATTTGAGTAAATTCAATATCTGTGTTCAATTTGAGTAAATGAAGAAAAGAGTGAAAAAATGAATTTCACTCTCAGAAATTGTGGTGACTTTTTTATAGACAAAAAAATGTCGAAGAAATAAACTGTCAGACTCGTCTATAAAATAATGAATCTCTAAAAATAATCTATAGCAATGCCATTTTGATTCTGTTTCTAGGCATACATTATTTTAGATCCCTAGTTAGGGTGGGGGGTCAAAAAGATGTAACTTCAAAGAAAAGGAAATGACGACACCACATGTGAATTCAACTTTCCGAAAGATTACCTTTGTCCACTGTTTCTACAAGCATGATCCAGCCTACAATTAATTTCAGAAATACTTTTGTAGGAATGTATATTTCCAACATTCATCCTAACCACATGCAAAGAGCCCCTATTTTACTAATTTTAACACATTCCTCAACATAAAAACATAGTAGAGGAACCTTAAAAAGAAGTAAATACTTGTAGAGGTATAACAGTTATCAGTAATCTCTCATTCGTAACAGAAGAGCTAAAATTCAAAAATCAAAGTCTTTAACCTACATTACATGACAAAAAATCAAATTCTTAAATGAAAAAGAATCAATTTAATCACACCACCCTTTTTTTTTTAATAGAGGAAATAACATTGTTTCTTAAATAGTAAACAAAAGTTACAAGTAATTACATTATATTTCTGGTAGCCAGAATCTCCCAATCCGAAAACAGCATAATGAACTCCTTCCAGCAAATTCTTAGAAATATTTCTCCGTAGAAGAAACTTCCAAAACGCCTACAGACACATATAGACAGGAGAATTAGGGGAACAAAGAAAAAATAGACACTTTCGCCCCTCTTTCCTAATCAGAAAATTAAAATTCTACACAAAATTTCAGCCAACCTTCATGGAATCTGGTGTATCTCCTTGACCTGTAGTAGAAACAACAAAAATCACAGTGTCCTCATGAGGTAAAGAACTCTGAAAACAGTACAAAATTGCAAAGCTGGTAAGCATTATTCTCAAGCCATCAGGAAAAATTAGGCAAACTAAAAGAACTCCTAACAAAAAAAAGAGTCCAATTTATAAATTAAAGAATTGAACTTTCTTTCACTTTCCGTCAATTTGTTTGAAATCAAACTGAAACACAAAGTCAAAAAGAAAATTCACAGTTCAGTAAATCATCTAGTACTCATCAAATTAAAAATCCAAAAGTGATATTGGAAGTAAAATCATACAAGCAGTAAAACAATGCATCACATTTCCATTTTCTTTCAGTTTCCTACATTTTTTAACAAACAAACACAAAAATTAAAGATTGGCGGAAATTTTTCCAGTACTTTTCAAAAACATAGTTTCAAACTTAAAAGGATACCCAAATTTCGAATTGTCTCACTTTCTCGATTTTTCTCTGCAACCAGCAAAATTCTTTCTTTAAATAAAACTTACAGCATCAAAATCATCGATTGAGCAAACAGAGGTGGTGCAACCTCGACGCTCGGCTTCGCGGCCAATACGCTCCGCCGCATCCAAAGCATTTCCTGTTTGAGTAGCATATAGTATCAGTAACTTTGCTGGTTTCTCTTCCATCACCATAAAAACTTGAAGGTCAATACTGTGAAGGTTTTAGCGTAATTTCGGTTCTTTCTCTTTATTTATTTACTTACTACTATTTTTGTTGATGATGGGTTTTTTGCTTTTCTGGGTTTCTCTAACAAAAACTAGGATTTTAAAGCTAGAAGAAGTGATAGATTTTACTAGGAGGTTTTTTCTTTTTCCCCCTCTGTGTAAGAATGTCGGAGTACTGTCAGAGAAAGATGGTTGTTAAGATTTTGGGCTTTTAGGGTAAATAACGTTTGAGCCCAAAAAAAAAAAAAAAAAAACTACTGTTTCAAGCTGATTAACCGCCCCTGATCGCAAATGTGAAAACCATCACGGTTTTCTGCATTTTCTGACTATATGCCTACCTTAGTACGTTACCGACCTAAAACCAAGTGGGTTTTATTTACGTATGGACGGTTGAATTTTTTCTCATTGCTTTTTACCCATTTTGTTTTTCTTTAATTGGAATTGATATCGGTTAAATATCAACTCGATTCTGATTTAGTGTAACAACTAGATTTTTTACTCACGCTACATCGTGGATTGGATAAAATATATAAAATCATATAAAAAAATTATTTCAGTTTAATAATTTATTTTATGATAAAAAATAATTATAATTTTTAAATGAAAAAAATTTATATTTAACTATTTCTTATTTGTGTTTTTAAATTTTAGAAATAAATAATAAAGCAAATAAATTATTGATTTCTTTAAAATTTTAACACCCAATTAATTATTGGTTCTTTTAAAATTTTAACACATAATATTATTAAGAAATTAAAATTAAAAAAAATTCAATGTTTAGGGGAAAAAAAAGGAGGCCAGCCGTTTACTTGTTCATGTGAATAGTAAACGGACGGAAATTAAAAACAAAATTAGTGTTTAGAGAAAAAAAAAAAAAGAGGGCAAGCCGTTTACCATTCAAATGAACAATAAACGGGTAAAAAAAGGGAAGGGGGAAGGCCAGCGAGTGCTAGCAAAAAAAAAAATGAAAACTTAAAAAACCAAAAAAAGCCAAAGTAATATAGCAATGAACAGTGATTAACACTGTTCATTTCTACGATGAAAAATGGTTTTTCTTTAGTATATAGTATTAGATTTTTTACCTGCGCTATCCTGCGGGTTGGATAAAATATATAAAATCGTTTAGAAAAATTATTTCAATTTAATAATCTGTTTTATGTTAAAAAATAATCATAATTTTTTAATAAAAAATTTTGTATTTAACTATTTCTTATTTATTTTTTAAAATTTTAAAAATAAATAATAAAGGAAATAAATTGTTGGTTTCTTTAAAATTTTAACACCCAATTAATTGTTAGTTTTTTTAAAAATTTTAACACCAAATACTATTAAGAAACGAAATTAAAAAAAATTCAATGTTTAGAAAAAAAAATAGGGTGCAAGCCGTTTATTGTTCATGTGAACGGTAAATGGATGGAAATTTAAAAAAAAATTCAATGTTTACAAAAAAAAATAAAAAAAAGGAGGGAAGCCGTTTATTGTTCAAATGAACAAGTAAACGGATGGGGGCTAACTGGGTCTAGCCAAAAAAATAATGAAAAAAAACAAAAACATTGTAGCAATGAATAGTGATTAATTGAAACTGTTCATTGCTATAGTGAAAAAGCGTTTTGCTTTAGTATATAGGATAATTAGAAATTATAGTGAAGTCTCTAAAAATAAGTAATTTATAGTGCCATGTTATACTTTTGTTAGGTTCACTAGAATTTTTAGTTATCTTGACGAAATTTGGAATCTATATTTTCATCTCAACAAATAATTTTTTTCAAGTATCCTTTCTTTTGTAAATCGAACTAAATTACTAATTTAATAACTTTAGTAAGATAAAATTTGATACAAACATAAAATTTTGTACAAAGAATTAGAAATTTAGACACAACTACGAGTTTTTTTTTATAATAATAATAATAATGATTTTGTTTGTACAAAATATTGTTAATATTTGTAATAAATAATAAATAAGGTGAGAAACTATATATTTCTAATAAATTCTAAAATTAAATTAGAAGGTTAACATTATAATGATTTATACTACTAATTTAGAGTATACTAATATAGTAATTATAGTTATAAAATTGAACATTTGTTTATTATATTAAAATGAATAATGATAAGTTGGCTCTTAAATCGTCAAACTTTCCTATTTTATAGCAGTCCAATCAAATCAATTGTAAAGATTAGATTAGAAATCAACAAAAGAAAAAGTAAGTGGACCTAACCCATTGAATCATGACTCTATCCACTATTCTGATAGTCAAATTTTATACAAATGAAATTGGAACAGTAGATTTGCTTTTTTTCTTTCATTTTCATATTTCTTTGGACTCCGAAAAATAAATCTGTCGATATTTCTAATTCAATCTTTTTGTTCCCAGTTATCTAGTTATTCTATAGGAATAAATTACTATTTCCTTCCTCCATTCCACAGAAAAGTTTATTCGAAAAACATAATAAAACATATAAGAGAATTAAAAATATCTTTCTTAAATATCTTTCTTTGATTCCAGAACACAAGATAATTTATATTGATATTTATATCTATATAATATATAAGATTAATAGGTGCGATAAAAAGACTTTCGTTTAATTTCAAATTTCCTATTATTTATTTAATATTGTATTGAATTTAATAATATAAAAATTAGTTCTCCTTTTGCGTTTTTGACGGATATAAAATAAATAGAAACAAGATTCGAAGTGTCTTTCACGCTTTGACTTGTGAAAAGGCATACTCTAGAGTTTTATCTTCATCTGAAGAAAAAAGAAATATAAAAAGACGACATTAAAATGAAAGAATAAAGTATAAAATAAGAAAAGTATATGATATGGTAGTAGGCACATAGAAATTAGAAGAGTACATAAAAATATTTCTTTTTATAAATATCATAAACAAGATCCAAGAATAAGATTAGTTTAATATAATGAGACTCTGAGGATCCATTGGTAACAAAAGAAAGAGGGGATAACTTGTTCTTTAAATGATTTTTTCTTCTTTCAAAAAAAGCATCTATTGGATTGATGAGTCTTTGTCAAAAAATTCAAGTTTCGTATGGTTATTAAAAAGGAATAACCAATTTGAGTTCATGAATTTACCCAAATCAAGTTATGGATCAATAAAAAATTTGGATTTTCGAAACCCATTAGAAATTAAAGGGGGCAGTGTACAAGAAATCAGACATAAATGATAGAAGCTTCAAAGGCCCTGAAAATACTATGAGGTGTTCGGAAATGGTTGAAGTAGTTGAATAGGAGGATCACTATGACTATAGCACTTAGTAAATTTGCCAAAGATGAAAATGATTTATTTGATATTATGAATGACTAGTTATGGAGGGATTATTTCGTTTTTGTGGGTTGGTCCGATCTATTGCTCTTTCCTTATGCCTATTTTGCCTTAGGGGGTTGGTTCACTGGTACAACCTTTGTAACCTCATGGTATGCCCATGGATTGGTCGGTTCCTATTTAGAAGGTTGCAACTTCTTAACCGCCACGCTTTTACTCTTATTAATAGTTTAGTCCATTCTTTGTTATTTTTATGGGGTCCCGAAGCACAAGGAGATTTTACTCGTTAATGTAAATTAGGTGGCCTATGGACTTTTGTTACTCTCCATGGAGCTTTCGGACTAATAGATTTTACGTTACGTCAATTTGAACTTGCTCGATCCGTGCAATTACGACCTTATAATGCAATCACATGCTCTGCTCCAATAGCATTTTTTGTTTCGTATTTCTAATTTATCCACTAGGTCGATCGATTGGTTCTTTGTATTAAATCATTGTTATTATTATTAAAAAAAAAACTATGTTTGTGTCTTAATTTCTAATTCTTGGTACAAAATTTTATGTTTGTATCAAATTTTATCTTACCAAAGATATTAAATTAGTAATTTAGTTCGATTTTCTCTTTAATTTTTGATTAAATTGAATATTACTCGTGCTTCATTTGAAAGCCAAAAAGAATGAAAACATGAAAAGCCTTGATGTGTCCAATTTTGAGTTTGTTTATGGGCCTTAAATTTTGGCCCAAATGATGGATTTATGGCTATGGTTTAGTAGGTTGCAAATGTGAGTGTGTGGTTTTTCCTCTTTATGAACATGTTAAAATAGTTTATAAACTAGTCGCCGGCCACATTGGTGTAGGAGGAGATTCATTTGTATAGTTTTTTGTTATGATTTTTACTTTTATGATATTGCTTCAATTGGAGCCAAATACTTCAATAAGATTAGACTATTTTACCTTACTTTTTGAGATTATTTTAGGTTTTATTTATTTATTATTATTTTTGGAGGAACTTTTTAGAATTTTAACAATAGTATCATTAGAGACTACATCAAATGAGTTTATAGCATTTGCATACGAGGTCTCTAATTTGAAATTTATAAAAAAGCAATAGTAACAATAAATAATTAGGCTCACTTTGAGGTTCCTATGTAGTTATAGCACCCACTCATTATAATTGTGATGTGTTAGGGCAAAATATGGTGATCTAGACTTGTGGGTTCAATGACCGATATATAGAACATCTTCTTATCTTTGGAAATCAATCTCTAAGCATATCGTTTTGCTTAAAGAGTGTAGGATAAGGATTATGGAGAAATGGAATGTCTTTTGTGGTTAACTAATTGATGTTGATCTTTTTTTTCCCTCTTCCATTGGATAATTAGGCTTGCTTTTTCTAATTCGAGAGGAGTATATACAATTCACTTCCATAATTTTATGATCGGGTAAAAGATATTATGCTTGATCATAATGAACCAAATAGGTTGGTCTTTAATCTTACTACCTTTAGATAGTTTACATTTCGAGCTTTCCGGAAGGGTCGAAAGATTGTCACCTAACACGTTTCTTGGCATAAAAAGGTGTGAAATCCATGAATTCCTATTCAAGTTAGTGGATTTATTTGGAAATGGATTCATAGTGTTTTCTCTATTGATTCTAGGATTTGGGATAAACACTTAT